CATGATGCACTGCATGGGGGGGACATATGTGTGTATGTATGTATGTATGTATGTATGTATGTATATTGGGATGTGTAGAGGAAGGCAATGGGGCTCCCATGAAGCTCTGTAGGGGAGCCCATGTGCCTGGCTTACTGAGCTTCATCCCTTGATATCATGAGTCTCTCTCCCTCCCAGTCCCTTTGTGTGTGAATGTGCACATGGATGTGTGGGATGTCTCTCTGGATGTGGAGGTGTCTCTGTAGATAAGGCATGGGGATAGCTATGTTTGCTTGTGTGTGTTATTACATGTATATGTGTGAGCATGTGGCTGCAAATGTGTGCATGTGTGTGCCTCTGTGTGTGTGTGTGTGTGTGTGGTGTCCCTGATGAGAGGCACTTGACAGGCAAGGGAGAAGGAGACAAGAAGCACATCCCAAGCAAGGCTGAGGGGCTGCTGAGAAGGACGGACTCTTTTGTCCAAGCAGCTCTGAAGTGTGTGTGTATGTGTTGAGTGGGGGTGGGGGGTAGGGAATGGGGGTAGTGGGAGGAACTGAAGCAAGCTTCCTTGCTCCAGAGCAGGCATGGTGCCTCGAACCAGGCAAGGGGCAGCTGCCCTGGTTCAGGGACTGGACCCAGTGGGACATATCCCCCTTGGATACCCCTAAACATGAGAGAGCTTGGTCCCCCCCAGTCCTGACTTGGCACAGCTTAGGAGCCCTCTGGGTGCTGGGCACAACTCCGGTTTCCACTCCCAGCCTAAACTGCCAGCTTAGAAAATGGAAGGAGCATCTGTGGGAGAAGCAGCAAAATGGAGGCTGGGCTGGCAGAGCCAGGTCCCTGGCATGCATGGCAGAGGACCTGTCTGGTTATCTGGTTCTGTAGCCCCCAGGGTGGGGAGAGAGAAGAAAGAGGCTTTGCTGTTGAGGGCAGGAGCTGACTGCTCCAAGCCAGTGGCCATTCTGGCCACCCTCCATCTTCCTCTGGGGATAGGATGTACTCTCACTCGAAAGCAAAGTGTGTGTGTGTGGGGGGTTGGATTTCCTGGAGAAAGGCATCCTCAGTTCTGGCCTTGTGTCTGCCCACACTTTCTGCTTCCCATGTCTCTTGTGTTAGCCCCTTGCCTTCTCCAGCAACTCTCCCTCCCTCCTTTTCCCCTCTGCCCTGGAGTCCTCCCCTTGCAAACACCCTCTCATGCTTGCTTTGCCCAGTTGGGAAATGGGTGCCAGTCCCAGGGATTGTCAGTTGGCCACAGTTTCTTTGCCAGGGCTGATCCTTGGATGGCTCCTGGTCCTGGGAACAGGGTCCCTGAGTGTGGTGGGAAGGACTGGAGAATGGGCTGGTAGGAGGCAGGAGCCTCTGGGTCTCACATGAGCTGAACTTGAAGCATGACCTGTCAGATGTTGGTACATACAAGAGTCACACTGGTGTCCTTTGGCCTGTGTGTCAGTCTGCATTATACTTCAGGCAGCTGTTTTGGTTGTGAGTCTCTGAGGGGTCATCAGTTCTTGCTCCTGGGATCAGAGACCAGAGTGGGGCTGCACCTGGAGTTCTACCAATTCCCAGGGCTACAGGGCATAAAGTCCTGGGGCCAGGACCAATAACAATGAAGGCATAACTAGCTAACCCTTTCCCTCTCTCTTGGTCTCTGATTCTTAAAGCCAAAATTGCATGGGGGTGGAGATGGGACAGAGAAGATGGAGGGGGGCACACAGAAGAGCCCCTGCCCACTGTTTCTAGCTCTTCTTTCTGTGAAGGAGGACAGGGGGTAGGAAAAGGGCAGTGCAGTCAGAGGAAGATGGGAGGAGGGAATGCTGGTGTGGCTGGGAAGACAGATAAGAGGGCTGCTAGTCACGACACCTCCATTCTTGGGGATGAAAGCCGGAGCCAGGGAGCAGGTGCTACTTCTCTGTCCAGAATCACATTTTTACTTGACAAATGCTACATGTGTGTCCTGTCTGAGAGGCCAACCTCTGTAGGTTGATCAGACCAACTCACTATTTCCAACTCCTTTCCTTGCCTCTCCTCCCGTGGTTACTGCATGTTGAAGGCCATAAGCTCTACTTCAATCAGTCTATGGGTTATTAGCTTCTCCCTCATGGAAAATCTTGTCCACTCTGCTCCTGTCCCTCCCCTGGCTTTGCCTCTGACTCCTGACAATATCCTGTCCTGGCCGTTCTGCTGGGAAACATGAGTTCAGGATCAAAAGCCTCTTGGTAGAAAACAGATCGGCACTTTGACTCCTGCCCATTTGAGGAATTGGTTTCCTGGGCATATAGAAAGAGGTTTAGAATAAGAGGTCATGAGATGCTTTGAAGGAGACAAATTTCTACTTTCCCATGAGATCTGCTGGGGGAAAGGGTGTGAGACCAAAACACCAGTAGCCTTGGCAGCTTGCTTTAATCCAAAGAGCAACTATATATCTAGGTTCTAGCCCTTGCTCTACCACTAATTCCCAGTGTGCTCTTAGACATATCTATATCCTCTCTGGGCCTTAGAATCATCAGCTGTAACACTCAGACCAAAACCAAACTCACTGCCATTGAATTGATTCCAACTCATAGCAACCCCCATTGTATTTCCGAGACAGTAAATCTTTATAGAAGTAGATTGCCCCATCTTCCTTCCGAAGAGTGGCTGGTGGGTTTGAACCGCCAGCCTTCTAGTTAGCAGTCAAATGCCTTAGGCACTATGCTACCAGAGCTCCTTCTGTAACAATAGATGCTGTCTGCTTCTCTTCCAGCTCTGACATGGTAGCAGTCTATAATCCCCAAGTCAGGGAGATCTGTGATTCGGAAGGGGAGGGAAAGTCCCTGTCCAGGTCACTGGGTGCCCTCTAAGGATATTGGGTATGGCATGGTTTTCCCACCATGCTCCATCTCTGCCATCCCTCTCAGGCTATCCCTACACCCCTCCTAGTGAACCTTGAGGCCCTGGAGCTGAGCCTTGGTGAGTGCACACTGGCCAGCTCAGTCCCAGACAATTGATTTGGGCTACACAAACTGCTGGGTTTGCCCTGACATGTCTGGAAGAGAGAGGACAGGGGTGCCTTCCTCAGAGTCAGCCTGATCCTGTCTGTAGCCAAGAGGTGTCTTGGGGTGGATTTCAGCTTTTCTGCTCTGTGGGGAGTGGGGTGGGGAGAAAGTAGGTTGACCAGGGGGCAGATGCCTGGGAGGTCAGGAGGCATTCAGGAAACTGCTTGTGTCTTCCCCTAGGTAAATGGCAGTGATGGCATGTTCAAGTATGAGGAGATAGTACTTGAGCGGGTAAGTCTGCCACTGGGGAGGGGACAAGAGGGGAAAGAAGAGTGTAAGCCAGGAGAAGGGAGACAGAGCCCTGTATCTTGATTTCAAGATTCATGGCAGGACCTGCGTTGTGAGGATGGAGAAGCAGCAGCCCTCAAAGGCTGCATCACTGCACCAATCAATCAGTTTACTAACAAATATTAATTGACCTTGCTCACTGAGGCCTGGGGAACAAGGGGAGGGAATAGGGTTTGCCAAATGGGGTTTACCAAAATGCACAGCACCGGTTGGGAAGCCACCAGGCTTATGATAAATGTGGGCCTGTCTACCATGGCCCTTCTGAGGCCTGGAGAAGTTCCTCTAGGAGGTAAGGGGAGATGGGTGCCAGGAATCCTCCTTTTTGTCTTCTGAATGAACAGACTCTGCTACTCTACCCACTTCTACAGGGCAACTCTGGCCTGGGCTTCAGCATCGCAGGTGGCATTGACAACCCCCATGTCCCTGATGACCCTGGCATCTTCATTACTAAGATTATTCCTGGTGGAGCAGCTGCTATGGACGGGAGGCTGGGGTAAGGTGTCCTGGAAGTAGGAAGGGGGAAGCAGGGACAGGATGAAGATGAGGGGAGGAGGGCCCACTTGGCAGATGACCTTTCTGTCAGATCTGGGAGGGGGAGGGGCAATGGGTGGTACATGATAGAGGAGGGTTGGAAGGAGGGAGGAGAGGGAAAGAAGAGAGAGGTGAAAAGGAGGGGAGAAGGCGGGAGAGGGGGTAGAGTGGTGGTGGCGCAGTGTTGTGCCTCTTCCCCTGCAGGGTGAATGACTGTGTGCTACGAGTGAATGAGGTGGACGTGTCAGAGGTGGTGCACAGCAGAGCTGTGGAGGCGCTAAAGGAGGCAGGCCCTGTGGTGCGATTGGTGGTGCGGAGGCGACAGCCTCCACCCGAGACCATCATGGAGGTCAACCTGCTCAAAGGGCCCAAAGGTGCGGCGTTTGGGTTCTTGTGCTCTGACCAGAGCTCCTGGCTCTGGGTTCTGGCTGGCCTTGTAGGAAGTGGAAGGGAATGGCCTTACTCCTTGCTGATTCCCCCTGTTCCAACTCACAGCCTTCTTTCTTGGCCTCAGGTCTCTCACTCTAACTGGCCTAATGTTTGGGACCCTTGAGGGTGAGCCTATGAGGCCAATGGGCTGGCTTGGGGTGGGAGGTTGGATTGGATATTGAATGAGTACTCTGATCTCTCCTTGTGGCCTCTTCCTACTCCTTGCTGGCCCCCACTCAGGCTTGGGTTTCAGCATTGCTGGGGGCATTGGCAACCAGCACATTCCGGGAGACAACAGCATCTACATCACCAAGATCATTGAGGGGGGTGCTGCCCAGAAGGACGGTCGCCTGCAGATTGGAGACCGGCTGCTGGCGGTAAGACAGCCTTCATCAGGATGTCCAAATGATAGGGTGAGGAGGTGGAGCTCTAGCACCCTCTTACTCTACCTAAACTTCACTCAGGGACCAGGCATTTTGAGGAATTTCGAGAGCATCATCTGAGTCATGTTTACCTAGACCAAGGCCCTAGTTCTTTGCATGGTGGGGGTTGGGGTCCCTCTACCTCCTGCCTCTCTGTTCCTTACAGCACTATACTTGGACTTCTGTGTTGTAGCACTGTTGCATTTCACTGAAAGGGCATCTCTCAGGGTTCCCTGGAGAGGCCCTCCTTTCTCCCCAGCCTAGCGCTAAGGCTTTCCATCTGCTAGGTGAACAACACCAATCTGCAGGATGTGAGACATGAGGAAGCTGTGGCCTCACTGAAGAACACATCTGATATGGTCTATCTGAAGGTGGCCAAGCCAGGCAGCCTCCACCTCAACGACATGTACGCACCCCCAGACTACGCCAGCAGTATGTACCATCCAGCTCTGTCCCTGGCCTGAAGCCCTACCCCCTGGTTTTTGGAGGCGAAGAAGTTCATACCCCTTATTAAGAGAGAATCGAGGACTAGTGCTCAGGAAAAAAAAAAAAAAAAAAACTGGGTACAAATCCCAGCTCTGTCCCATATAGTCTTGTGACCTTGAACAAGTCCCTTTCACCTGGCTTCAGTTTACTCCTTGACAAAAAGGAGCTAATGATATATGTCCTGCCTTCCTTGTAGGACTGCTACAAGGATCAAATGAGATTATGGACAGGAAAGCCCTTCAATAACTGTATTAGGCTATAGAGATGTGAGGGATTATTAGTCACACTTGTAGTCATACCTTTTTTTGCAGACTACCTTCTTCAGCTCTTTCTAAGACTCACAGAAGTGAGTCCAGGATTCAGAAAGGGACTGTGGAGGAGGAACTATGTGGGGTGGATGGAGTAGGGAGGAGAGGCCTGAGGAATTGACATCTTTTGGAATTGAGGTGGGGTGTGGGGGAAAGTTCTTAGAGGGCAATGGGGTAGACCATCTGGATCGGTCTTTGAACTTTCTCTCCTTTTCTTGATTCTAGCTTTTACTGCCTTGGCTGACAACCACATAAGCCATAATTCCAGCCTGGGTTATCTTGGGGCTGTGGAGAGCAAGGTCAGCTATCCTGCTCCTCCTCAGGTTCCCCCAGCCCGCTACTCTCCTATCCCCAGGCACTTATTGGGTGAGGAGGACTTCACCAGGTGAGATTCCACTCCCAATTCATTCTGCCCAGGGATGGGGAAGGAGAGGAATAAGTTTCTGGTCCACCACAGGTGCCTTTGTAGTATGGCAAAGAGGACAAAGCCCTCATCACTTCTGGCTTTGGGTCTGAGGTCCTCTCTTAGCCCTTTGGCCCTATAGAGGAACAGAGGTAGCTGCAGGGACAAGTTCTGCCATCAGGAGGAGTGTGTGGCCCATATCCAAACGTGGAGGGAAAGGGTGGAGTCCAGTGTTTACAGGGCCAAGGAGTTTTCCTGGGGCTGCAGGGTTTCTTGCCCTCAGATAGTAGCAATCCTCCCTACTCCTCTCATTTCAAATTAGAGAATAAAGCAGTTCAGCAGGTGGGGCTGCAGAGACCCTCTGGGGCTGGTGAGCCTAGTAACCTCTCAGGCAACTGCCCCGCCCCACACTCTGCAGGCAGCTGTTGAACTGGTCAGGCTGGCCTAGGTTTCGGGGGACAGGTTTGCAGGGTGGGGCTTGGTAGACTGCTGGGCAGACTGCCGTGGAGCCCGGAAGGGTTGGCAGACAGGCAAGAGCCGGAGGAGCCATGGAGAGAACACACAAGCTCTCAGGCTCAGGAGCCTCGGCCTGGAGGAGGGCTTCTCAGAGATGGGCCTGGCCGCTCCGCTCTTTGCGGCCTGGAGGGGATGCAAGGTAGGAGGAGTGGAGGGCTGTGAGGAAGAGCATCTGGAACTCAGGGACAGAGCATCCCAGTGGAGCCTCCCAACAAGACTGCAGTGAGAGAGGAGGAGTCTTGGACTTGGGGCTTCTTTGATGAAAGATGCTTACAGGTGAAAGTGGTGGGCCAGAAGAGCCGGCTGGAAGTTGGGTTGTCTGAATATACACTTGTTGCTGTGTGTGTCTGTTCTTACCTGATACCACAGTGACCATTTACATAGGGTTTCTTTAGACATGTTATGTTTTAGTCATATTTTGCATGTGCTTGTCCCCTCTCTTCAGTTTGGCTCCTAAATTCCTTTTGGGGACCTGGTATTTCTTTCTCTCAATCTCCCACATTAAGTAGCAAGGATACATGATAGTAGCTAATGAGTAAATACGTTTTTGGAAGGTAGGAGGAGTCATATATAGGGGGTGGAATTTTGAGATTGTGGAGGATAGTGGGTGCAATCAACTTCAGGGTGGTTCCATTACCCCTAACTCGTTCCCCTTATTGTGACCCAGGTCCTATCACACCGATTGGTAGCACAGGAGAAGTGGGGAGGAAGAGGACCAGCAAGTGGGCTCTGAGATTTGGTCTCTAGAACCCATGGCAGGGGTTTGTTGCCCTGAGAGATTAGGGGACTGGGAAGTTGATTCCAAGCCCTGAGGAAGGAGAGAGGGAAAAGAACTGAAACTTGGCACCTGGCAGAAGACAGCAGCCAAGCAGGTTTCAGGAGAGGACAGGAGGAACAGGGTATCATACATAAGGACTCACGTCCTTACTCCTTATGGCAAGTATGGTCCTTGTTACGAGCTTGTCCCTACAGTAACAACAGTTTACATCTACCTTGTCCTGATCTTTCCACTGCTTTCCTTCCAGAGAGCCTCGCAAGATCATCCTGCACAAGGGCTCCACAGGCTTGGGCTTCAACATCGTAGGAGGAGAGGATGGAGAAGGCATTTTTGTCTCCTTCATCCTGGCAGGAGGCCCAGCTGACCTGAGCGGAGAGCTTCGCAGAGGAGACCGGATCTTATCGGTGAGGATACAAAGGAGAGGTGGGAGGATAGAAACAGTGCTAATCTAAAAGGGAGGAGAAGAGACCTTGTTTTCTCTAAAGAATGCTTCTTGAAATGGCCTAAGGGTTAAGAGCTAGAGACAATTTACATTCTCTTCATAGACATATTTAGTAACAGACAGGGATCAAGACTAGACTCATCCTTGAGAAAATAAATGTCTCTTGGTTCTTAACCCTGATTGGCACTTGATCCACACAAAGATGATTACAGGTAGTCCCTAACTTACGACTTATTCGAGTTACAACAAACTGAATTCAAAATCATCTCTCTCTCTCTCTTTTTTGTACATCTTATTGTTAGTAATACATGCTACATACTGTGTTGCAGTGCATAATTTCCTGATGTTATCATTCTCAGATACTCACTTGCAGATGTTCAGTATTGTGATTTACTGTTCAAAACATTGCTGTATAGCAGGCTATGGCCTGATCTATAATGAAGTCAGGGGCAGCGTCAGGAGTTGTAATGGATAGAATGTTGGGCAATGTTCAGCTTTAACGACATATGATAATTGAACTGCGCGCATGTCTAACAGCCATTCCAACACTGACTTCATTGTTACGACATTGATGTTGACTTCATTGTAAAACCAAACTCACTGCCATTGAGTCAATTCTGACTCATAGCAACCCCCATTGGGTTTCCAAGGCAGTAAATCTTTATGGAAGTAGATTGTCCCATCTTCCTTCCATGGGGTGGCTGGTGAGTTTGAACTGCTGACCTTCTATCTTATCCACTATACCACCAGAGCTCCTTAGAACAGTGTGATATTATTCAGCGTTTTGTACCATCAGAAACATCATTTGTTCATTTGAAGACTAATTGTTCAAGTTTCTTACTCTGTAACATATGCACTGCTTATACTCTCAGTAATATGTCTACCAAAACAACTCATGCCACTATTAATTCTAATCCAAAAAAGAAGGCAAGGATCACAATAAAAAAAAAATTAGTGAAAAAAAAAGAAGGCGAAGAAGGCTCTAGACATGGATATAAAGATGATGATCATTAAAGCCTATGATAATGGAAAGAAAGTTGGTGAAATATATGTATGTATGTATTAAAATATGTAAGTTTATATGTAATTTTTCCAATCCCCAAAGACTAAAGATCAGATTTATAAAGATACTGATAATAAAAAGCAATAATAATGAAAAAAAAAAAAAAAAGAGGTATTGGACTTACGCCGTAATCAACTTACAACAGAGTCCTTGGAACTTAAGTTAGGGACTACCCATATTACATTAAAAAGGTTGTAAGAGAGCTGTTGCATTATGGGGTTTGCAATCAATGTCATGAAACAAAATGTATATGAACTGTTGTATGGAAAATGAATTTTCTCTGTAAACTTTCACCCAAATCACACACACACACACACACACACACACACAAGGGTTGTATCCTTTAGGCTTCTGTTCTTAAGGGCAAGGATGGAACATTGGGAAAGGCATCCAAATAGGATAAGGTATGGTCTACCTATCTTTCTCTCCTCACTGCTAGGACAGAGGACTCCTTTCTTGTTTTGTGGGTGGCTCATGGCTCCTTTCTTTGTACAGGTGAATGGAGTGAACCTGAGGAATGCAACTCATGAACAGGCTGCAGCTGCTCTGAAACGAGCTGGCCAGTCAGTCACCATTGTGGCCCAGTACCGACCTGAAGGTAGGAGAAGGGAGGATGGGGACAGATGCTTTAGGGAGTTTAGACTTCTACTATGTGTCGGCTTTTTGCCATCATAGGCAACAAAGCCACTTGACCAGGTACCTTTACCCTAGTGCAGTAACCTGTTCCTGTCTTGTTTTCATCCTGGACAGAAGTTGAATTGGTCAGCTTGAGAGCATCAGTCAGGCTGTGTTGTGTGCAGAGCCTACTGATTAAGGCTGCAGTGCAGCAGAAGGCCAGCAGTGGGCAGCAGCCTCTGGAAGTTAAGCACAGAGATTGGGGAGACTGGAAAAAGGGGAGGGAAGATGCAGGGCTCAGAGTCGAAAACCTGGATTTGAATGCCCTGGAACAGGGGGAGGGTAGCTATTACTTGGAAGGACTTGGCGGTGTGAGGGGGGAGAAGTACCATTGAAGAAATCTGGGGCCAAACCGTCACTCCCTTGCCCTTATCAGGGTGAATGTGAAATATGCATAAGATTTGGAAAGGTGATGCATAGGATTTTGGGGTAGGGGATCTGGAGTTGACACCCTCTCTCTGCGGGGGCGTTATTTGTATTCTCAGTGACCCTGTTCCCAGGTTTGGGAGCGAATTGGCGAGTATGTAAATGAAGGCATTTGATTGGCTGAAGCCAGCCAAGGGCCAGGTGCCGAGGTAAACTGCGGAAAGGCACACCCTAGCCAGCCAGCTGGCCTGCGAGGTGGCCATTGGCTGGACTAGCGCTGCCTCCCGCCGCACGCCCCGCCCCCTGCCCCAATCCAAGGGTGGCGGGTGCCCCTCCTTCTCCCCTTAAGCGCCTCGGGCGTCTCCTCCTCCCTCCCCCTCCCCCTTCTCCTCTTTTTTTCCCTCCTCCCGCGCGCCCCGCTTTGTGTCCGTGGACTCCCGCGCCACACCGAGGGGTTGTCAGGAGTTTGCGCTTTCTCAGGACTAGACCTTGACTCGGATCCGGCGCCAGGTGAGGTGGAGCGGACAGGGGTCAGGCCCCATCACAGTTCCCCCTAGCCTCTCTACGGTACTGTTCTTGGCCTTTCTCTTTTCCAACACTGCGCTCTCAATTCTGCCCTTTACCCTGAATGCCTTCCTAGCGGCCCCCGCCCCGCGCCCAAAACACGGCGCACAGCCTTCTTTTGAGACCCTCCTGAGGCCCCCTCCCAGGCCCCAGGAGCGCCGCGCGGAGCTAAGTGCCCGGCTCTCCCTCGACTGGGCCCTGCCTGGCCTTTGCCTCTCTGCCATCACCTCTACCCACACACGGAATGCGCCCCTTTCTCGCCCCAGGGCTTCAGTCTTGACTTCAGCCTCCTTTCTGCCGACTGCTGCGCCCCTTGCAGCTCCTAATCTCTATTCCTGGAGGAATTTTCTAAATCTTCCCCTCCCCCCAGACGCATTTCTCTACCAGACCTGGCTACCTCTGGGAACACCCGAGATGGGGCTCTATGACACCCCCCCCACCTTTTGTTTGCAAGGGTTTTATCCTGTTCCAGCCTTTGTCCTTTTGGGCTGCAACTTCTGGACTCCTTAGACACCTAGGCCCTGTGGAGGCGCCTCTCTTTGGCTGGTGCTCTGTTTCCAAGATAAGAAGGGGAGAAGCAGGAAAACCCTGTTGCAAAATTGAAAGGGAACGAAAGAGTCTACCTTTGTGCTTTCTGCTTCACTTCCCTCACACTCTCCTTTAGCGCCTCAAACTAATACAACCTTAAGGGAAACAAGAGGGGCCTGCCTACCTTTTAGCTGGAGGCTTTTTTAACGAGGAGCACAAGGGTAGATCCGAGATAGTGGGAAAGTGGAATGCAAATGGACACTTCGAGTCATTTCTCTTCATATTTGGGGTTCAGTTGAATGACAAGGAACTTGCCTTAGATTTATTTTTATGATTTAGGTGTGTGCTGTTTGTGTCTCCATTTCGAAGTAGACGTTTTATACTTATTAGCAATCAGTGTTTATCCAGTGCATCCCCACAACTTAGAAAACAGAGTTCAGCAAAGAAAATAGTTTCTCTTGCATATTTGTGTGTGTATGTAGGAAAAATCCATGTGTTTCTTTCGGTTTTACTCTCTGATGTTGAGCATATGGAAACAACACTGTGGATTTAGAGTGTCTGGTGGGAGTATAGGATCTCTGGTGGTCTAGTGCCTAAGGCATTTATTTGACTGCTAACCAGAAGGCTGGCGGTTCAAACCCACCAGCCACTCCTGGGAAGGAAGATGGGGCAATCTACTTCAGTAGAGATACTGCCTTGGAAACCCAAGGAGGGGTTGCTATGAGTTGAAATCAACTCCTCGACAGTGAGGTTTTTTTTTTTTTTTTTTTGGTGGTAATATAGGGGCCCTGATGGCACACTGATTAAAGCATTCTTTTGTGAAACAAAAGCTTGGCACTTCGAATCTACCAGCCACTCCGCGGAGAAAGATGTGGTAGTCTGCTTTGGTAAAGATTTACAGTCTTGCAAACTATAGAGCAGTTTTACTCTGTCCCATAGGGAATGGACTTGATGGTAGTGGATTTGACCTTTGGGTTTGGTGGTAGTATGCTGGAAACTAGTAAAAGTACATGTTTCTTTGAATTTTGTTGGGGACATGTAACTGGATTGCATAAAAAGCTGCAAGTTGTCCAGGGTAAGGGAATTCCTACAGTGTTTATTGCTCTCTTGAGTATATATCTGAGAGTGAGAATGTATAATACATGTTGGAGTCTTTCTACCTTTTGCTAAATAAGGCCTTTCCTTCTTTTAAGATTTAATTGAACCATTGTTAAGGCTCTACCATCCCAATCTCTCGTCTTTGGTTTGGTAACTCCAACAAGTCTCCAACAAGGCCCCAACAATGAAAAGCCTTTTTTTTTTTTCTTTTGGCAAATGGACCCCCGGAGACTGGTCCAGAGGGACTACCAAGGCTTCCAAATTGGGCTTTGAATTTTCTTTGGTAAAATGCTAGTTTTTAAAAATAAGGATCATTTAATAAATATATTAAGTACTGTTCTTTGGACAATTGCATCATGGTGAGTATTTACAAATTGAATAATCCAAATATATGTCTGTTGGCTAAAATGACAGAGACTTTGCAAATTATTGGCCAAGTAAATGTTTATTATTTGCATTTTTTTTAACCTATAGCCACAGAATGTGAGAGGTGCAAAGGATCATGTAGTCCAATCCCTCATTGTGAAGATTGGAACAGTAACATTAGAGCAAGGACATGACTTGCTTAAGGTCATGGAGGGAAAGTTGCCAAGGGTCAGTTTTAATTCTCAGGTCTACCAGTTGGGACAAAGCCATGCTTGTGAATACCTGAAAGACCTAAGACATATTTACAGTGGAAGAGTAACAGGAAAGATGCTTGGGAAACAATAGAAGGAGGACTAGTGGAAGAGAGAGAAGGAATGATGTACATGGAGGGTAAGATTAGAGTAATCACCCTAGTGGCCACTGAGGTGCCAAGCCAGTGCAGCCTTTAGCTAGATATTCTTTAGCATGAGAGCTTCAAAAACACCTTTGACTAATTAGAACTATCAGAGTAAATACATTTTTTTTCTCCTTTGTATCAAACAGATTTAAACCAAAACTGAAAGCCAAACTCACTGCCATTGAGTTGGATCCGACTCATAGGGACCCCTCCTTGGGTTTCCCAGGTAGTATCACTACGGAAGTAGATTGCAAATGGTTTTTAATGTATTCACAAAATTGGGTAACTGTCAACACAATCAATTTTAAATAATTTTCATTACCCCTCTCCTTTTAATATAAGCATCAGAAGAGTGGTTGGTTTAGGAGAGTTGCTTCCTAATGTATTTCTCTCTGATACTTAAGGGTTGAATGGCCAATTGTTGGGAATGCTCTAGCCTTGAATTTCTTCCATATATATGGTTTTCTTAAGGTGAGTTAAACTCATAATGGATTATAGGAACCATGTCTTTCTATTTGAACTTTGTATTGTGCTGGGCATAGGTGCTTAACAAGTACTTTCATGATGAAGCTTTGTAAAATACTAAAATAGAAATGGAAGTGCTAAATGATAAGTTACCACAGTGAGATGCTGTTTAATGGTTTCACTTCTGATTGTTCCAAACTGTTATGGACAGAACAGTCTTACTTATTAGCTAAAAATAGCATGATGTTCTTGGGCATGTATAGTCCTGCTTAAAATTCAAATTGAAAATTTGAACAACTGGCTCTTGGTGAAGGTTCTCTTCCAATCTATTCTAAAGTGAAAAATATTTTTTCTGTAGCTTGTGGAATTGCTCCATCAATGGAAGGATGAGAGTCATATTATAACATTTTTATTTATGGATGATCTTCATTTTTCCTCCTAGTTATAGCCTGAGCTAGTATTTTTCCGGAATGCCTTTTTGTTTTCAGTGTAAAATCCAAGCCAAAAATTGGTTACTAAGGTACTGAAGTGGGAACGGATCCTTTGTGACCAGTATTTTCAACTGGAATTGTAAATCCAGGATGTAAAGCCATACAGACTTGGAGTACAGAGAGAGAGAGAGAGAGAGAGAGAGAGAGGGAGAGAGATTGAGAGAGAGTGTGAGTCTTCTGTAACTCATTTTAAGGTGCTGAATAAGCTTACTTTCACATAGAAGCACCTTCAGGTAAGACCTGGAAGAGTTAGGGGATAAGTGTTGTCAATACTTGAAAGCATTAAAGGGATACTTTTCCTATAACATTTAGGTAGCCATCCCTATCTTCCTCTGTTTAAGAATGAAAGATGTAAAACTAGCTACTACCTTATCAG